CTCCCGGTCTAGGAGACCTTAAAATCCTGCATTTACATTTGTGCTTTCTTGCGCATCGCACTTTCTTGTGCATTTGAATTTACACTCACACTTTCTTGCGCATCGCACTTTCTTGCGCATCGCACTTTCTTGTGCATTTGAGTTTACACTCACGCTTTCTTGTGCATTGCACTTTCTTGTGCAATTTACACTTGCGGTTTCTTGCGTATCGCACTGTCTTGTGCACTCACCTAGTGTAGGAGACCTTAAATCCTCTAAAGGTGCAATTCCTTTGGTGTTTGTCATGCCTGAACGACTTCCGGCGGTCTAGTATAGCCACTTGACTATGTTTGCGGTAAGTTCTTAGGAGATCAACTGAGACGGTGAAAACTAGAGTTCGAATGGCCGATGCCTAGAACGCAAAGGTTCAGAATTTCCGAGACTAAGTCTGACTTAAATACCCAGGGGTGTATTCTCAACTTGAAATCCATATGGTAGCCCCATAGGTTGAGGTAGTGTGTATGTGCCTCAATTCTAGATACAGAACCAACCTAGTTTGTCACCCTGTTGGAGAATAGGGAAAGCTGTGACCATAGCCAGGGAGAAAAGTAGTACATGTGGTTCAGCCAACCCAAAAAACAGGAGACCCACATCAGCATAAGGTGAGTCATCACCAATTGCCCCTGTAAGGTACTTTCACTTCCCAGCTGCATCGCATTTATTACCTATTGCATCACATCTATCACTTTTATTGCATATAGAATTTATCGCATGTATCTATTGCATCATAGAATTTTATTGTTTGCATCCTTCTCGTGTTAAGCTTGGTTTGGCATGTGCTCATACTTTTCACGTTGAAGCATATCTCTGCATGTGTACACGCCTATTCTACTAAGAGAATTGTGGTCTGAGGTTTCGGCACCTTTTCTGTGTTAGCCGTGGTTTGTTTTGTGTCCATGCCTTTTCTAGGCTAGACGTGGTTCGGTCTTCGCCTTATTCACTGCATCCATTACATCATGCTTTGTTTTGTTGCATTTAGCATTTAGAATCACGATCTTTCCACAGCAGATCATTCCTCACTTATATCATCCCACCTAATTACTTGTATTCTTTCTGCGAAACACATAGTTCTGCATGTGCACATGCCTATTCCACTAGGACAATTGTGGTTTGAGGGTTCCGACACCTTTTCTGTGTTAAACGTAGTTTGATTTTGCATCTCCATCTCTTTATGGTATTTTTGTGGTTTCGTTGCATGTGCACTGCTTGTGGTTTGATGATTCAATTACATTGCATTTGCATGGTTTCGTTGCACTGTATATCATTGCATTGTTTTGTTTTATTGTGTATCATTTTGCATTCTGCCCCTGAACTACGCTGGTTTGATTCCTTGCAAAGGGATACGTAGGCAACCTTTGGGTTCAACCAACTGTATATGCATTTTGTCTATTTGCCCAAGTCTTATGGCCATGTCAAAATCGGTCGTCTCTGGGCTTTGACATTCACTCACGTCATTTCATGACTCTGAGCTCTGTCAAAGAGGGGCAACTATAGACACCCAATTTTTGACTGCCCTTGAGACTTGGGCGCCACTGATTGCTTACTCGATGGTGCAGGCTATGTTGTGCAAATGTTTGATTTCTTTAGCAAGGAGAGTGTCAAATCCCAACCTCACACCCCATTTTTGGACCAAAATGATTTTGACCAAAATGATTTTAGACCTTAAAATCCTCTATTTCAAAATGTTATTGAAAAAAGTTCTTACGATGTTCCGACGCTCGCATTTTGTTAAATGTCGCACTTTTCGGTAAACCGAGCAAGGACAAAGTGGAAAT